TCAATACCCATATTATACAGTTAAACCTAAACATTCATAATTAATACATTTGCGGCCAGATTTTATTAATTTAACGAAATATTGTTCAACATGTTTTCCTCGAGTTGGAATCGAAAAAAATATTAATTAAATAATTCTATTAACTTATTGAGTATTAAGTTATCGAGATTCTACTTTAGTACATACAGTAAGCCTTAATATAATTATTTGGGCTTATTTTACATACCCCTAAGAGGCAAATTAACTAGTAATAAACCCAATGAAAAATCTTCCTTTGACATACCCCCTGTGGTTAGGAAAGTACATTACTACCCCTACAGCAAAAATACGCTGGACAATAAATAAAAAATTCGACAAAATCAAATCCCCGTATAACCGCGCATTTTCCCAAAACTCTAAATTACACGCAACATATCAGCAGAGAAGATTGTCGTCTCCAACCTACCTCCGTCTGTGGAAACCGCCGACCACAAACACCACCGTCTTTCACCACCGACAAACAACAAATCTACTCGTTTATACGCCGCCGTATTAAAGCTCCTCCCGAAAAACCAGAGCAATGGTGAAAAAGGCAAAAGCTATGAAGAAAACAGGTACTTTTTACAAAAAACTATGTAAATGGGTATTGGCACTGTTTCTCGATTTCTTTTTTTTCGTTTCTCTGTTCTAACAGATCTATGAGGCGCATGCAGTCCTATGTAGTCACTGACTGTTATATGTAGTTTTGTAATCTAACCCAAAGATTTGTTGCGATAACACAGGAAAATCAAAACGAGCGGCGATAGAAGAGTTGCAAAACCTAGACGCAGATATTTGTTATGTTCTACATCATCTATTTCAGTTTCCCCCCAAATATATACATTTTCCATAGATGTGCATAGTTGTATTAACGGTTAGCCAAAGATCAGCGCATCTGTGAAGCAACAATATACGTATTTAGCTGGAATGCTCCGTAGTTACATGTAGTTATATTGTGTCTTATACCAGCCATTATTCTACAATACATGCTTGTTTTTTGTTGTACAGATGAAGAAACACTACTAGCGCGCCAGGCACTAGACAAAGGGGGGTACAGTTCGCAATACCGTTCAACGCTACATAAAACGGTTAAATTCTTCTCAGATGTCCATCTCCGACCAGAGCACTACGATTGTCTCCGACGTACACCTTTCTACAATCTTGTCCTCCCTTTTGCCAAACACAAAATAAGCGAGGCTTTGGTTACCGGAACGCAAAACGGCATTTGGAAAATTCTCAGGATTTACGATGTTAAAGCACAGTCATTTGTAATTGGTGGCAAGAATCTAACTATCGAACCAGAAGAATGTGAATTAATTTTTGGTATAAAGTCGGGGCCGGTACGGATGCTTTTTGACAGATCCCAAAGGCCAACTGACGGCCTCGTGCATAGGAGATTCCATAATCATAGTCAAATGATATTTTCGGATGTCAAAAATCAACTGATGGCATCGTTAGCGGGGAGGGATCAAGAGGACACCGAGGACGTGATCAAGTTGATAGTACTCATCCCCAAGCATCGTTGCTTGGTGGATGTTCAAGTATTTTGATAGCATAGCGAACATGGGAAGGTACAACTGAGCACGAGGGATTGCAGAATTTTTATTAGATCATGTGAGATCATCCCCCGCTCATAAGGTGACGGGTTGCATTCACCACGAAACAATGAACACCAACATATGTTCATTTTACCTCTTCCTCCCCGACCCACCAACGCCGCCGTGTGTATCCGCGTCACCCCCACCAGATTCTCCGCCGCCACCGTCTGCTGACGAGTCATCTTCAGACTACTGCCTGGAAGATGAAGAGACGGGCGAGCACGATCGGGAATCTGCAGACTCTTGGGATTAAATATATTTTGTTATTTTCGATAATGTTTTGCTTTAGATATTGCACTTTTGTGTATTATGTTTCTATTAAAATTAAAAGTTTCATCCCATTGTCCCAAATATTTTTCCCACAAAAAAACAATTAGCTCATGAGAATTTGCAACTGATAAACAAACGTATAACCTGAGACTTGAAGACAACAACACAAAAATAACTACATGCAACTATGATTTACAAATACTGAAAAATACTTGTTTATATGTACAACGAATGCAATTTCAGACACAAATAAACAACTACAACATACCCAAAAACTTCAATCTTAAGCTAGATGTAGATGCTTATTTCCAAAGTAATCGTTTCAAGTCATCTATTCATACTTAGAGTCGGATTACATGCTTTTCAGCACAATATCACTACATACAACTATTTGTAACTACATATAACTATGGACCGAATGATGTTGTGCACACGAGCAATACACATTGAACTAGTTTGACACACCATCAACAAATAGGAAAACACATCACGAATGCAAAACCAAAACAACCATTTGTAATCAGTTCAATTTTAGACGTCAACAAACAATAAAAACCAATCCAGCAAAATCAATTCAGAAAAATGTTAAAATTCTAAGCCATGCTCCTAATACATGTTCTCTTGTTGTGGGTGCCAATGTGATTACACCTACTGCACTTCATCTTACTTGATATGTTTTCCCCAACAGAAGGAATTCTTTTGTTCTTCGGCCTGCCACGTTGCGGTTTGAAAACAGGGGCACCAATTTCAACAGCCGGAGGCCGACCCGCATGGGTAACAAAAGGCATAATGGTGTGAGAGTACACTCTTCTATAACAATCTGTACAAAAATGGTCGTCAAAGTAATCATACCCACCGGTCTTTTTGTACTTAAACAATACACACACCGCATGAACACAGGGCAGCCCATTGATCTGCCACATTACTACATGTAACTACCAAATGAAAAACACAAGTACACATAATACATCAACACAGGATCACTCCACAAACACAGTTTCAGACAAAAAACAAAAAAAAAACACAAGATCTACAAAAATTATATACAATTTACTTAATACATAATATTCGTCGACAATTAATTCTAATGTGTTAAAATTTTAAAAACACTTATTAAGACGAAGTCAGCGTATTCGAAAATGACTGATACAGAGATCCACAAATTACACTGAATACGAAAATCGAAAGGTTTTGAAACAAAACGAATATCTCACGAAATCGCGAAGAAAAATCAGTTTCCCCGATACGTCGCACGTTTTCCGCATTCACATGGAATTAAAACGCTGGGATCACGTATACATGGCAACATCCAGGTTTAGGAAAAGGGCTACTAAGGGCAGTTTAGATACTTCATGTATGCCCAGGGGGTCTGTCAAATTATTTTCGAAATTAGGGAGGTTAGCCATAGGGTGGAATCCGCATGATAGTTAGTTAGATATAATTTGAAAATTAAAGGGTCTCTAAAATAATCCCGAAATATTTAGCATGGTTTCGACCGAACACCAATGGCCAACATCAAACAAGGAAATAGACTGAAAATTTAGGTTTAAATCACTATCAATATATAAACGTATTATTAAAGACATAATTATATAACTTACAAGATTACATCAAGTCATCAACAAAAGTGGAATTATTACCAATATGCCATTCTTCTTAAACATTTTGCCAACTTGTAGGAATCTTTCTGTCACAATTCACAAGCTATGTAATGACCTCCATCTCCATTTTTTTTCTTAATTCCATTTTTATATTTCCAATATTTTAAACTATAAAAATATATGGGGTTATTTTTTACGGTGGAGATCGGTCGGATCTGTTTTACGTTCTTCGCCTTATTAATTAAGCTTCTGTTTTAGATTTGACACATGCATCATACAAAATGTTAGCATTTCGAATGAATGCTTTAGATATATTATCACCATTTATCCATCATGCATATATATGTAAAGGTAGTGGACCAAAAGCTTCGTTTTGTTATATATGTAAACGATCTTATTATTAATTATAGGAGAAATAGAATTGGAGAAAGAGGAAAATAATAATACGTAATATAATAGAGACCCTCATTATGTTATGGGTTGATTACATGGAATATAGAGAGAGAATTATTGCAAGGTAATAGAGTTTGACAAGGTAACTAAATCCTAACTAATCTAGGTAACCGAATCATACTTGAATCCTAATATTTGGAGAGTTATACAATATAATATTCTCTAACACGCCCCGGCAGTCGAAACGTGACGAACGTGAAGACTGGACAATCACTTGCTAACACGCTCCCGCAGTCGGAACGAATATACTCCAAAAGTAAAGACTGGACAAAAAATCCGCAAAATCCAACAGTAGTGAAATCCTTGATGAAAATATCTGCCAAATTAATAGAAAAATAATAATAATAATAATAATAATAACATGGAGAGATATTTTTTTTTCTTTTTCTTTTTTTTATCGAGATAGAGAGAAGAGATGAGAGAGGGGGGAAGAAGATTGGGTGGTGTTCGCTGGCCATGGAGAAGAGAAGAGGCGGCGGCTAGGTTTTAGACCATGAAGAAGAAAAGAGGAAGAAGAACGGAAAAAATAGAGAAAATACACCACCGGGGGAGGGAGAAAATTCAGGTGGTGTTCACAGAAAAGATAGAAAAAGAAAGATAGAGAGAAGAATACCACCACCAGGGAGGAAGAAAATTGGTTTAGTGGTCGCCGGCCATAGAGAATAAGAGAAGCGGCGGCTCTGTTTTAGGCCATGGAGAGGAAGAAGAAGAAGAAGAAGAAGAAGAAGAAGAAGAAGAAGAAGAAAGAGATAGAGAAGATGCACCACCGGGAGAGGGAGAAAATTGAGTTTAACTAGGTAACTAAATTTGAACTAATCTAGGTAACCGAATCATATTAGAATCCTAATATTAGGAGAGTTCTATAATATAATATTCTCTAACATTAATAAAAATTATTAATTTTAGTCATTTATGAAAATCTGCATATATGTGTTTAACTGCTTTTAATACATATTATTTATCAATTAATTAAATGTATAAGTCTTATATTCTAATAATATTTGAAATGATGCATCACTCTAGCAACTGAGCAACTATGTTACACAGCTGCGTTAAATTGCATCACTCCGGTAAACCGTGTGAGATAAGAGAGAGAGATCGGGAATAAAGATTTATATCTACAAAGTTTTCTCCAAAAATATCATCTCCGATCTCTAGTAATTCACCGTTAAGAGCTTACAAGATTTACAAGCAAAGCTTTACCAGCAACACAATATATCTAAGCATAGCTCTAAACAAAACTCGATTATAAAAATATTATGATATCAATTAAGCTGCTGCCACCTCGTCGAGTTCCTCCGACTCTGGTTCTGTCGCTGATATTAAAGAAGCTGATTGGATTTTTCCAGCATGCTCGAGCCGCATCAAAATCACCCCTCTGCAAAAACAAAAACAAAAACAAATGGACCGTCGTTCAGAGAAAACTTTAAAGTAACAAAATACGAGTGCGGTCCTGTTTTCCTAGTAGAAGTAACAGTAATAATTAAAAAAATACTAGACTACGGAATATCAAATTTACGAGGAAAAGGAACAATTAATTGAGACTGAAGGGTTGAATAACGTAATTTCAAAAACACATTTGGTTATGCAACATTATATCTAAACCAAAAGGTACAAGATATGGAACCAAGCGGTACAAATTTCGAAGTCTACGAACTAAAACCCACACCAAGTTCTGCAATAATAATGCACATAACTGCCCAAACTTTCAACAGTAAGACACATATGATGCATGTATTCCGAAAAGATGATAACACCGAAAAAATGGTTAGACTCGAACACCAAAATTCTCAAATTGAATCCAGTAGTGTGTTTGTCGGCTTATTAGGTCGCAATGAAAACTGCCACCCCTAGTTAAGTAGAATACCGAGTCCAGTAACCCAACGTACAAGTATATAGAAGCATAGTGATTGTATAACATTACATGCTTCCTAATACTATATCGGAATGTATCTAAGTATCTATATATGGTTGTGAACTTCGGAATGCTTAAATAATACTTCCCTCCGTGTTTTTTCATTTGTGCTTTCAGCAAAATATCAATTTTAGGAGTTCATGGATAATTAACTGTATTTTACCAATTTACCCTTGAGCATTAATTGCAGAGAGAGAATAGAAATGGTATAAAAGAGATAACTACAATATCAACTAATGTTGATATAATCTTGTTAGAAGGGTAATTTTGGGTTTTCTTGTCAGACTAAAGGTTCTTTAATGAGTTTCTTACTGTGCCTAAACTTAAAACGACAGATAAAATTGCACTTGTTGGAGCGATTCAAATGAAAGAATCACTAGAAGAAAAACAACACAATTTTGGTTTTGAAACTAGAAAATAAGTTGTCCCTAATAATATTCTTATTCGGTTGATAGGTGTTCGATGCATCTTGGCAACTCATATATATCACGAGCAACAGAAAACAAGTACCTAAACTTAAAAGTACCTTGCATAGCGAGACTGAACGGATATATCCCGTACTTTGATCCGATTCACTGTTCCACTTTGGCTAACCAGCACAACTTGTTCATCGCTTTCTCCATCCTCTGCAAAAAAACAACTATGTTATTCGTCTCTAATAATTTAAGATATGTTGCTTAAAAATAATATTGTGTAAATTTATAGGAAACCTCACCTCCCACAGAGAACCCTACTACAAATACCGCTGCCAGACGATTCTCCAATGAGAACTGCATCACAGAAACACAAGTTACAATGAAACAGAGGCATAAGTAGAAATTATTATATGCTACAGTCAATGTGAGTCCATTAAATTATTATGTTCTATTGAAACTCGTATAGAAGATGGTAAAGTACCTTGTAACCTTTCAAACCAACCCTATTTAGTGGTGACATTCGGAAGCTAGCAAGAGGAACTCTCTTTCCAAAACCACTCTCGGATATGAAGAGCAACCAAGGACCAGTAGATCCCTTCCCACTGGAAACAGTTTTGAAAAGTTTATACAGGAAAAACATTAAATGTGTAAGCATAAAAAAAAAAAAAAAAAGATGACAACGACAAATTAAATGTTGACATAACAATAAATTCATGAGGAATATTCAACTATAAGTGATCACAAGTGCATCGAGAAATCTCTCCTTTTCTTTTCCGTGTTCTTTTTCTTTTCTTTTTTGTAAGTGTTTGTGTTGTGGGGGGGGAGATAACTTAAAAACTATAATATGTTTTTCACCTCATATAAGAACAGAAACCATCCACAGTTAGAATTTAATGTCAACATATAACAACAGCTAAAAGGGAGGGGAAAGAAAAAAGCAGGATTAAAAAGAAAATTGACATGTTGCGACACATTAATGCTGTGCAACCACATTCTTGATTGGAGTACAAAATCACCTTATTAAGAGTAACTGAATGAGCTGCTAATCAGCTGTAAATGATTAAAATCATGCAAGGGAACATCATGGTTGAATTAAAGAAGATAAAGAAGATAGACAATTTTCTTGAAATAGTATAATAACAAAATGTGAGAAGACGTCGAATAAAGATGTGTTTCAAAATTATTTCCGGCACAACTAGATATCAAGTAATGAAGTAACTATTTATTCAATACCAGAGTATCATACAATGCAGCATAGATAACATTTTCAGAAATAAGGCATGACAGCTTTCTGTGAATTAAAGCTTCTTGTATTGTATAGATATATCGTTCTCCACAAAAAGAAACATGCATATAATGATTTCGAAATTACTGTGTCTGCTGTGTTTCTATGCCTTTCTCCAACTTTGTGCCAAAAGATGCGGGTATTATGTCGATGCAAGCCATTTTATCCTCCGGTTTCAGTCTCATGGCAACCCCACCCCTAGTATTCCTTCCAAGTGCTCTAACCTAAACGAACGAACAAACATGTAAACAATGAAAAGAATACTTTTAAGAGTGACATAAAAGCAGAATACATCATGATAAGGCCCAAAGGATACTCGGCAACTAAAATGACCAATGGAATTATATTTAAAGGCAGAAGTTTATTCGCAATCAATTGACAATCAAATTGTGAAATTTTAACTGGAAGAAAAGCTTTGAACTATGGTGACTCCACAATTACGGCTCATCCAATCAACCCTTCAATTTAAGCAAGTGAATTTGTTGTGTGTGGTGGTGGGGGGGGGGGGATTAATGACAACTAACTTACCTTCTCACAGGGACTCAAAATCACCATTCCGTTTTGCGAGGCCATAGCCACAAATTCATCATTTGTGCAACGCCTCACCCATTTCAGTTCATCGCCAGGTACCTGTCGGTTGACATGTGTTAATTAGGCTCAAAGATGGCATCATAGCAGAGATTCCAAGCAACAAAGAAGTAGACAAACCAGTTGAATTGCTATGATTCCAGTACACCTGATCGACGAAAAATAGTTCAAAGAAACTTTCTTGATGTAACCTTTCACCGTTAGCATCATAAGATATTGGTCCCCTTCAAATTCACTAACTGGAATAATTGAAGTTATTCTTTCTCCTTCAGAAAGGGATAAGATCTGAATCCAGGAAGAAAAAAAATATCAATGACCATACAATAGAACTTGGAGGAAAATACAAGCCAAGAAATTTGATCTAAGTTAGGACAATACATGGACTAAAGGGGTGCCAGCAGCAGCCCTACTGCATTCAGGAATTTTATAGGCACGAGCTGAGTACACTGTTCCCTTATCACTGCAAAAAGAATAACAATAGTTGAGATAAAGAACAACTCACACACCTATTCGGTTTATCTTCGCGATTTTTTTTTGCTGATGGACCAAGACCACTATTGGAAGTAATGATGCAAGTGACAGTAGATGAAATTCATGACCCCATTCCAACACTTTGCCCATAGTCAACGTTACAAGAATTTCCTTGAAACCATTTTTTAGTGGAATTTCCTTGAATAATCTTTTTAGGGGTTGAATTTTGGAAATTTAGAAGGAAAATAATATATTTCAAGTAATATAGTTTCTGCAGCGGAAAATTAAAGGATGCCATCACTAAAAAAGAAAGTCAAACAGGGTCAAAGTGGGAGTAAATACCTGAAGTACAGGACATAATCATGTGTGCGACATACAAGGAAATCAGACATGGTATCGTTGACTCTCAGTTTCCCTACTGATTTGCCAATAGTTCCACGTGTTTGAAGATTGAAAGTATCAGGCCTCATTCTTTTTAGGTAGCCTTTTTCACTAAGTGCCTTAAAATAGAATATAGAACATTTTTAGCAAAGATATTGCAGATATTCTTTTTTGCTGGAATTAAGTGCGCTGCTAATTTACCAGAAGTATTTCTTCATTGGGGATAACATCTATATCTTCAAGTTGGCCACTATCAGTGTCCTCCAGCATTGAACGCCTTGGAGTAAAAAACTTGTTCTTTATTTCATTTGCTTCATCTTCTATCATCTAAATGTTGAAAGAAAAAATTAGCCAATAATCAATGTGTCGTCAATTATAAACTCGCTATCAATTGATACCCAGTAATGGGCACCAGGTGAAACAGTGAATACACAGGAACTTTATTTGAGTTTAAATTAAATCGATATTTTATAAAAAACATAAAGCAGACACGGAAAAGCCTTATGTGCGGCTTCACAAGGAAGCAAAGTCAGTTCACATTTACTTTACAAACAAACCAAACAATAATGATTATTGAAGATCAAGTATGTTCCATCAAACGAATAACATGTATAAGCAGTTTGTTTATCCATTGTAAAACATACCAACATTAAAATGATGAGCAGCCAAGGGAGCAAAAGGGTCGGTAGACGGTTTACAATTCATAAAATTTCAAGAACATGAGTGATACGATGAGCATGACGAGGGAAATGAAAGTACTAAGATACAAGATCAAATAGCCACAAGACATGGAAGTAATGATGCTCCATCAGAAATACCTCAAGAATTTGTTTTCTACTTGAAAGAAGCTCTTGTAGCTTGGAAATTTGTAATGACAACGATTTTCCTTCATCAACAAACTTGTTTTTCTGTTACAAAACAGGGAAAAAGAGATCAACACAGAGAAAATGCTTTCAATATGACAGGAGGACATTCCCACAAACTTGATATTAAATATAGATGTCCAAGATCCTAAAATACCTCCAGAGATGTTAGCTTTCTAAGGCTTATATCCAGTATAGCCTCAGCTTGCTTGTCAGACAAATCGAACTCTGCGACAAATAATAAACTGTTCGATATCAGTACATTTCACATAGTGAGTGAAGCAAACAATTTGCACATTACAACCCAACTTTAACACAATGAGTAATGCGATGGAAACAGTTCCATTCCATGGTAATGAGCTATATGATTTGGGTCTGACAGAAAAATGCACAATTTGTCTGAGTTTCTATTCAACTTGAAGAATCATATAAGAATTCATTTATCCACTAAACAGGAACAGACACAATAAAACCAGAAATGAAATGACATCTATGCAGAAAGAGTCCAAGTAACATAAGTCCAGGCCTAACAATTTTCCTTTGTGAAGTTCCAACTATTATTAGTAGTCAATTTGTCATCTTATAACAAGAAGTATTTCCTAAAATTATAGTCATAACAACAGAGCTAGTGAGATAGGAACAGTTCTGCACACAGTTTATTCAATAGGCATACAACAACTTTATCTAGATTGCAGATCTTCAGACAGCAGAAATCTTGATCTATTCTCTCCTTACTTGATTGCCTTTTTATATCAGTGTTTTACGTTGTTTCTGTTTCACTCAACTTAAGCAAATGCATAACCTTCCTGATACACTAACTAGTCATTAAATCTTCCATGACAACTTCGAAATAATGTCAGCAAATCTATTTTATAAGAATCTCAAGCATAACTCAGCTTTAAGGATAACAATTTTATATCCTGAAATACATCATATCAAGAAGAATCTTGAAGCTCGTGACTGCATAAATATTTGGTCCTTCCATTTTATTATTTATATATGTTTTCCTCTGTTATTTAGAGAGTGAAAGATACAAAATAGGGAAAGATAAAAAAAAATAATGGACGAGAAAACTTGCCTTTTCTTAATTCAGTTGTTGCCAACACATGACTAGAAGCTTTTCTGATAAGGTCGATGACTCTGTCCAGATTTTCAAGTCCTGTTATAATACCCTAGATCCCACACACCCAAAACAAAGGAAAAAAAATTATCAGCGTGTATAATTACAGTACTCATACGATACAGCTTCACTACAGAAGGGAAAGGGTGAGGTTGCAAGATAACCAATACGATGGATGATTCAATTAAAGATTATTACCTAAATGGCATTCACTTTTCAAGAACTCAGCAAAATGGATCTAGTTGACATTAAGCAACAATCTAATTTTTTTTAAGAATCGCGTAAGCTAGTAACTGTGGTATATTTTAAGCCTACCTCCACAATATGATAGCGATCTTGTGCTTGAGATAGTTTATACTTTGCACGTCTTTCGACCACAGAGCATCTAAAATCCAAAAATGCCTGCCCAAAGAAAACGTATAGGACAAAAAAGAATAGCCTCAGTACATAAGTACAATAAATTAATCTGATACTCACAATAATTTTGTGAATGAAGATCAATTCAGCATATTTCCTCTGAATCAAAATGATGCCATCTATAAATCACACAGAATATATCTGGATTCGGAAGTTAATATCATGAATCATGTTCGTGATGATTAATTTCCCAAAATGAAGTAACTAATGAATTATATCATTAGCCAAGTTCGTGATGAACTTAAAATCCCAAAATGAAGTAACTAATGAACTATATGATTCGATATATGACTTTATGTTCATGCAAATAATGATAGCCGTGGTAAGAGTTCATCACCTGAAGCAATTCCTTCAAACCCATTAGTTTCGGTTGGCCATTAAGAATCCTGGGATAGGAAAATCAATGATTGATAAAGGTTTCTTACCCAAGATAAAAGGACATTTTAACTACAACCGAACGTGAAGAATAAACCACCATAGAGGACAAAACTATGTACATGCTTCTTCTCCCACAATCATTTCAAAATGGTGTCGAACAAATAAGAAGCAACATACATATGCAATGCAAAGTTCTACACTGTAGTTTCATAGATAACTAGGCATAATAGCATGCACGAGACAGATATTTCAGTAAACATGTGATTTATGTTAACAATTAGTATAACTGAAGTCAACACAAGTCCAAAACGCTTCAAACTATATCTTTGAGTAATATTCAGATTAAGGTAGCGGCAGAGGTAGAAAAAAATTCAGATTAGGGATTTCAAATTGATTTTGGATTGAACTAATTTTCTTTTTTCTTTTCTTTATCTGAACCTGCTTTAGATACCATGTTAGAATAGAAAAGTGATGATATATTATAGGAAAGCCAGACAGATTATACTGTAGAAAAGCCAAATAAATTCTACTATCGAACGATCCCACTCACTTTCATAGAGATGGGAAAAGAGTCATAACAAGGAAAATAACAAAGAGAGAATTCTTCCATAGATAGACACAAATCTCCTAATATAAGGTAGACAAAAAACTAGTAAGCAGATACAAATTTCTAACTTACTACAGAATCCAAAATATCTCCTAACACTATGGTTTGAAAAACTACTTACCCCACCATGTTACAGCTAAATGTGGACTGCAGAGCCGTTAGACGATAAAGATTATTCAAGACAATGGATGGCTCTGAACCTCTCTTAAGCTGAAAAGGTAGGAGAAAAAAGAATCAAAACAAAGCCAGAAAGAACAATGGACCAAAAATCCACAAAATCCAAAACACTGAAGAATTTGGAAATTGGGTTGGACCTAGTGTCTTGAAGAATGGAAAATAAAATACTAGATCAAAATTTTACCTCAATGACTATGCGCATGCCAGATCGATCACTCTCATCACGTATATCACTTATTCCTTCCAAAATCTAAGAGAAATACAAAAGTTTGTTATATAGACTACTAAAGCAACAGTTATAAGTTTAAGCCAAAAAAGTAAAACTAAAGAATGCTCAGATAGGGGAATAGAAGACTTTACAGCAGCAAGCCTGAAACAGCAGAAATCATGTGAAATTTTCCAGGTAGCCAAATTCATGTTTAAAAGTAACATATTCAGCCAATTGAGAACTTATAACTGAAGGACTTACATAATTAATTGTTCTTATTTATGTCTTTCCATTTTCTTTTTTTTTTTTTTTTTTGGGGGGGGGGGGGGTGGTGGGGGGTGGGTGGGGGGAGAGATGCGGAGAGAAAGAATTCATTTGGTGGTAAGCCAAGCACCCAGCCCTTATGTAGATAAAAAAAAAACTCAAAAACAATTCATAAAATAATATGAAGATGGATGCTAGTATAAATTGTCAAGTGACATCTAGCTTTCAGTGAAATCAATTCTACAGAAAGTTATTGTGCTTCAGTGGGTAGCCTGAGCTTTACAAGTTTCTTCTACATTCCTCTTACTTGTGATAATATAATAGCAAATCTTCCTGAAATGTGACTGAAATGAAATGCTAACTCATACATAGTATATATTTACTAGATAATGATTCAGAATTGCTTATTGTCTGAAAGCATATGCTAAACAATACCTCTCAGTTTTATATCATAATTCCAAAGGCAGATTTAAAATGTTAAGAGTAATTAGCAAAACAAAATGTTATTAAAAATGAAAAGGCTGATGGGAGATGACAGAATTCATTAAGATGGTTTAGGATAAAAGGAAGAAACTTATTATCCAGCGACCCACCCCACCCCTCGATTACCAAAAAAAGAATGGACAAAAAAAAAAAGAATTATAAAAATACTTACAAAACCTGTATGCACAAAGTAATATTATGTATGTAGTATTACTTCTGAGGGATGGGTTAAGACGAGACAGCTCCATTTGATTATTTAGAATAACATTTAGCAGAGAGCTTGAAGCTTGATTAAAGACAACTATGATACAAGTTCTTTAAAAAGATACCTTATTTTCAACTAGTTCAGCAATTTTCTCGACAAGGGATGCTTTGTTGGTCTGGTATGGAATCTGTTTCAATTAGAAATCAAAGTCATGATTAAAGTTAAATGATTTTAGTCATCTACTAATTAAAGTTGAAAATAATGACAATTGTCAACAATTGATTGTTAGGTGGACAAAGAAAAAACCTCTTTTATGATAATCGCTGAGCGCTTGCTTTTAGAATCAAACAACTCAACATCAGTTTTCCCTCTGATCACCACACGGCCTCGTCCGGTACGATATGCGTCTAAGATACTTGACAGAGTAAACAAGATGTCAAAAATATTTCATCTGGTTATAAGGAAAGTTGGACCAGAAGGTAAATGATTTGAGGCAAGTATGACGAGCATAAGAAGAGATGATTTCAATCATCTTATTAAGAATTAACAAAGGAACACTCTGGGAGTGGAGAAGTTATTGATCACGAGTTAAAGAGCTACTGATTTCAACCTCTCAGTAAAAAGGCTATTGATCCTTTTACCTTATGAAATCCCAGACACATTCATATTAGATAAGGGGTGTAGAGATTAAAGAAGAAAAAGCAAATGGTGGAAAGCAAAATTTACTTCCGTAGCAATATAAAGTTTAGAATGTAAGGAGCTGGTGAAAATGTAAATGATCCAACTATTCCATCACTCGCTGCATGCATAGGATCCTGACCCATCCACAAAGACAACTGGTGTACACTTTTACACTAACCTAAGATTCGCTTAGTAGCAGTTCTTTGGAATATGACAAAAACTTCTATAGCTTCATTTTTTGAACTATTTTACTGAACGGAAATTCAAGAATAAAGCTACTAACAAATTGTGATTGTGTAATAACGTATTTCCTAGCAGTAGAAGGCATGCAGATGATACTAATGCCAGTTAACATTTCAAATAAATTTACTTGGGACAAATTCAAGAATAAAGCCTCCGAATAATCACATTGTGAAGTTCACATATTCGCTAAAGCTTGTGCAGTTTGGAAAAAGCATGCATATAAAGCAATGTGCTCTGTCAAAAGAACATGCAGATGATTTCAATGCTTGTTTTGCATTCAGAGGGACACTGTAGATTCTTTGAGAGAGAAGTTACAAATAGGTTGAGAAAGGTCGCAATCTATTGACTTACCCAGTATTGCCCATAATGATTCCTCCAGTTGGGAAGTCAGGTCCAGGCATGTACTCAAGCAATTCTTGCAACTGATAAAAACACCTTACAGGGTCACAAACTTACTTTTTCATAGAAGTGCTAATGGTTGGCTTCCATTAAATATTTTAATCCAACAATCAAACATTATCATAACAGAGGATAAAAGTGATGCTATAATCAATTCACAATATAATAAATAGACACCCATCCACTTGTCAATCTCAAAATACGCAGTTTCATAAACGTAGGATAGATATGAAGCAAAAAAGATAGATTGGAAATCTAATTGAGGAGGGAGGAAAAAGTGTATTGTTAAATATGAAAGTTCCGCATTTTGTGGTCTACTGCCTAGATAAGTTTAAAAAAAACTGCATCATCTCTGGAAATAAGACCGGAGGCAGATTTGCAACCCCACTATGAAACTTCAGTTAAACAATGTAGCCATCACAATTATGTATTCTGTTAACCAACCATTTATGCTGCCAGAGTTCTTTAGCTGAGTTTTAAACATAGATAAGAATCATAATCTGTTAGTTCATAAACCTCTTAATTTCTTTTGTGAAGTACCGGAACTAAAGAAGAAAGATTAGAATAGTTTGTGAACGTCTTAAGTTTGACAAATGCAGTCAACATCTTTTTCTTTCTTATTGTATTTTCTTTCCTTTTGCCAGGGATACGAAATTCAGACTCCATATTATCTAATTCAGTCATAAATGTATTTGAAAGTTGACTTGTATTCATGTTCACAAAAAGCATGAAGGCGTTTAACTTCCTAAGACATAGCAAATAACCTTTTAATGCAATGCTCCGAGCAAATAAAGGTTTAACATCTTTCTTTACAATGAAATGAAAAGAGTCTCAGGATAAACAAACGCGTTTATTGCCACTTTTATTACTTATACTTAGCAAAGAAGAATGCACCACAGAATTTGAAGAACAACCTATAGGAAGAAAGAAACTCATGCAGCATGTTCATAAGCTAGTTCACAATTTCCATCCATTCAGAAAATATTTTAAAAAGAGTCCATAAGATAATGATGCTTGACTTATTAAAATTATACCGTTGCTTCAGGATTGTGTATCAAAACAGACAGCGCATCTACCAACTCCCCAAGATTATGTGGAGGAATATTTGTTGCCATTCCAACCTGACAGCATAAAGTGAACATAAAATGTAATCCATATAAAATGTAATATATATATATATATAAATATATATATATATATATATATATATATATATATATATATATATAGATGGTGAATAACAGAGCCCAAGAACAACCATGTAAAATGCCAGTCAGAAGAAACATTTTTAAGTGCTACAGAGATTCATGTACATACCGCAATCCCTGAAGCACCATTCAGTAACAAGTTTGGAATGCGAGCAGGAAGTAAAGATGGTTCCTTTTGTGAATTGTCAAAGTTTGGAACAAAATCAACCTACAAATGTGAAAGGTGAAATGTGAAATTTATCACTGAAGAAACTAAGACTGATATATAATACAATTAAATGCAAACAAGTGGATAATTTCAAGGAGGGACGCTAACGGTATCTTGCTCCAGATCTGACAACAACATCGCCTCCGCGAGTGCCTGAAGTAAGAACAATAGCATATCAATGCCCATCAACCATAAGTCTATAAAACATTATTGTACTTATTTATAAGAAACATATCCAGTATTTGAATATTTGGAAAGGGTATAGAAGGAATCCATATTAAATTAATGATCTACCTCCAGTCTGCACTCTGTGTAACGCATGGCAGCAGGAGGATCCGCATCCATAGAGCCAAAATTCCCATGTCCACGAATGAGTGGAGAACGCAATGAGAAATCCTGAAAGATATGGGTTGCAAATCGTAAAGATTAATATATGAACAAAATGTCAGTATCCAAAATAATAGCAAATGGATCTGGTTTATTTTGACTTGATTAAGGTACTTATTCTTAATATTAACACTTTTCAATCCGTTGTGCAATTGAGGGCAAATATAGATGATTGAGAAAACTGTAAAATTAGACCCTTCCTCCAAACTGTATATTTAAACGATGAGAAAAGCAAACTCTATTCGTCGAAGTGCGCAAGGAGAAGCTCTTAAGAAAATCTAATGTGCAGTACTATTTTCTGAAACTATTGATACTTGTTTTTCTAAACGATACGTATAAATCAAATTCAGTTGTGTACTTCTGTAGCACTGCATCAATTACAGTGGAAGTAGAATACAATGATAATGGTTATTTTACAATCTACAATTCGAATAATATACTTTTTTAATAAGACATTAGACGTACTGCAGAAAATTACACCAATTCAATCGTAAATTTATTTCTAATTTGGTTAAAGACCAACGTTTTTTTACGGTTTCTGCCTTTCCCCTAAACATTTCATTCATACATTTTTTATTGAAAGGAAAAGGATTGTAGTACCTGAGCCATTCGAACCAATGAATCGTAGACAGCAGTGTCTCCATGGGGATGAAACTTACCAAGAACCTGCAATTAAACCAAACAAAAATGAAAAGAAAATTCAGAATGGTAAATAAAATGCATAATGATGGCAAAATGATGTTAGACAAAGATAATATTCAAGAAAGTGCAAAGGCACTTTTAATGGTCTTTCAAGGTATCAAATACAACCTCACCAACTACTCTTGCGCACTTCTTGTGAGGTTTCCTTGATGAAAGGCCTAGTTCATGCATTGCATATCTGTTTAAAACCAATATAGATCCAGTCAGAAGACCGTTTCATGAAAGCAAAGCATGAAATTGTACTAATCAATTAAGTTGTAGTTCATAAATGCACGTGCTAATAGATGACATAGATATGAAACTTTATAATAAAAGCAAAATAATCTCAAACAAGCAAGAAATACATGTAGAAGCAAATATAATTTATGGAACAATAAGTTCATACAAATTCAAAAAAGGAAGCTTGAAAACATAACTCATAATGTAGATTGTGAGCCAGATTTCAATGGTATAAACAAAGAAGCGGAAGCCAAAAGCAATTATTCAACAAAATGTTTTCCAGCAAAGCTTATTCTTAATGTAAAACTCAGAAATATAATAGGGATATCCTTAGCTGCTAACAAGGACGTCCAACATTGGCTTATTGGGCTCACAATAGGTCATCGAAAAGATAAATCCGTACGTAGTACAATCTTAGTAGTCCTCTTTTCAGACACTTATGTACTATATTAAGCCCAGCAGGAATTATCTCTGCTTTTTTTCATTTTTTTTTCATTAATTATTCTATGCTAACTTAGAAACAACTAACGTGTTTTCAAAAGTCGAAAATGAAATTCACTAACGGAGGGTGTGAACATGACAAGACATTTAAGATGCGAACAAAAGAAAACATGCTTAATTAACTTATTCTCCACCCATGATAACATACGAGAATACTTCATATTTTTTTCCCAAGCAAACGATTCGGTGAAGCTTACTGCTGTTTCAAGCACCCAAAACAACCATAGAAACATTAAACACTGATCTTAAAATGCAAAATGATACAAAGTTTCTTCCTTTTCCACATTATAAGTACTAATATTCGCAAATTAAATCAGATATTGCAAAAATTGCAGCACAACTCACAGTATCCTGCGGTGAACGGGCTTGAGCCCGTCTCTAACATCGGGCAAAGCCCGGCCCAAGAGGACCGACATTGCGTACGACATGTAAGCCTCAGTAGCCTCCTTGTGCAGCTCGTAAACAACTACTCTGCCCTCGCCTCCTTCTCCTCCACCACCATCCTTGACAGTAGCAACACTCCCATTTTCCTCAACTTCATCCTCCCTCTTCCTCGAAGAAGCTTTCACAGCAAAGAGCCTCCTCTGCGGGCCCACAGAAGAGAGAAAACGGAGCTCCGTGACCCGCCTCGCGAGCAGCAGGCGAGACGGGCCGGCGACGGAGAAGGAGAGTGTGTGGGGGTGAGAGCGGAGCAAACGAAGTCCAGTGGCGAAAGCCATGTGTGGTGTAGCGGGTCCGGGTCGGGTATTCGGGGGTGTGAAGTGGGTTCCGGGTTGAATTGTGTACGGGTTCATGCCATTGTTGGAGGGGTAGGGTTTTGCCTGAAAAAGGGGGTTTTGGGGATAAACAATCTGCAAAATTTGTAAAACCCTAATAAAGAAAGGGATAGGGGTTTATTTTGGATGGTTTGTTTGCGCGCCAAGTCCAAACATCTCTGTTGGTACATTATAAAAGACTAGTCGAGCTATCTGCACGTGTGTGGCACGTGCCCTTCTCTTAAACAAAATTTCTTTCAACATATAGAATTTCTTATAATGTTAGACTATTATTCCAAGGGATGGAGCCGAGGGATTTCGCATTTTGGTACAAGGTATAATTATTATTTACTGTAAACTAACGATTAACCTAACTTGCTATTGATTTTTTGATAGGGTGAACATTAGGAACGGAAGCTCCATTAATAATAAAATTGCATTCATTTAATAGGACTGAAATGATTTGTGCAGATACTTTTTAAAATCTGTAGACATTTTCTTTTTACCATTTTTACCGAATCAAAAACCTAAATTCTCCAGAACTCTCTCAAGCTTTTAAAGGCACATTCTCATATCCCTGTCGGGACGACGATAGATTGGAGATAATTTTTATGTTTTTATGATTGTTTTGTTACGTAAATTATTACGAATATAAAAAGAAAAAAAAAGTCCAAATGTAGAGCTCGCGTGATTCTACACCAACTCAGTCCACTGAGTTGGTGTAGAATGATGAGCACTTGAGTTTGTGTGTGTATGTGTTTTTAATTTAAAACTTAATTCACGAATATTTGCAAAAAAAAATGAAGTTCATGTGTTTGTGTGATACCAGACGAACTCGGTAGAACGAGTTAGCCTAGAATCAGACAAACACATGCGTTTTTCAAACAAAAAAAATTGGATTTTTCAGATTAAGGTTGTTCGTTTAAAATTAAGCGAACAGATGGGCTGAGTTCGCTGAAACCACACAAACTCGGTGCACATTTGTTTGCCTACTGTTACACGAACACTTGTGAGTTTTTTCTTTTTTATTTCTTGCAATACTAATCTAGTTTTTTTTTTTTTTTTAATTATAGATGGCAGGAGGTATCAGGTTGCCAAAAAAGGTAAGAATTTGATGAAAGCTTTAAGTAGGAAGTTGACAATTCCGATGATCCGGATCGCATAAAAATCGGGGAGTTCTGCATCCGAGGAAGAAGGCCGCGATGTGAGAGAAGAAGCGAGAGCAAT